CATCCGTGTGTGCCCCACCGCTCCCCAGAGGCCCAGAGCAGGACTCCGGAAGTTGCGAATGTGGACGCTTCCTGGTGGTGCAACCTCTGGTCCTTCCCACACCCGGAGGCCACGGGTGACATCCTGGAGGCAGCAATGGGCATCTGCGTACCCTGGCAAAATGTCCATCTGGAGTACAGGACTGCCTTCGCGCATGCCTGGGGCTTCACCCTCGGCGCCCTGACCACCCTCCACGGGAAATTTGAGGACGCCATCAAGCACATCAGCATGCTTGCCTCGTACGCCCACCACCACACAGTCGCCATTGCGCACAACTGCCCACGCACCTGGGCCGAGATGCAAGACAGCAAGTTCCCCCTGGAAGCACCCACGAGGGTCCTGGAGACGCTCGTCCAGCCTGCCAAGGTCGCCCCCTTAGGTGCTAACGAGTGCTCAATCTGCACCCTTCATAAGGAGCTCAGCGGGTCGGAGCAAGGCCTCGGGTGCCGGACACAATGGCAGGATTACAGTACATCGGGGGGGGCATTGCCATGTCAAAGAAGCGACTCGACGAAGACACACCGGCCTTCCCCGCACCAGGAGTGCAATTGACCCCCCCAAGGGTGACCGACGACCGTTTCACCAGCGACCTCAAGAACGCCCTTGTCGATTGCGATGGCAGTGGCTGCAACAAAAAAGGGCTCTGGTACGCAGCCGGTGCCCGGGAAGACGACGACACAAGAGAACTCCTGACACAGAATCGCGCCCAGGCGTACATACTGGGCAGGAACTGCAGGTGGCTCTGCGAGCGATGCTGGATCGCTTCAGTGGAAGCGAAAGGCCTCCCCACGCCCCTCGCCCCGCACGACTGCGGCTCGGAGAGGTCCCTGCCCGCGCGATTGCAGGACTACAAGAGCACCCTGCAGAGCATGCGGCCAGACAGGAGGTCCAAGGCGCTCCCCTCCCTGGAGCGACTCCCAATCGGGTGCGGGCGACCAGTCCTGGCCCCGACCCCCACGTCATTGAGCGACCTCGTCACGAAGACCCCTCCCGCCTTCAGTCCACGCGCCGCCAACCTGACCCTCCCGGCACACAAGCTTACGGACGGGAGGCTCGGTCCCGAGGCTCACACCACTGGCGCCTACTCAGCCCGGTGCGACACTTGCCCGCCTGGGGCACCCCTGCTGGTGTGGGCCGCCAACCACCCCGCCCTAGGCTGCTTCCTCTGGCGCCCAGAGCCCGAGCTGCCCGTTGGAGGCAACACTGGTCTCCCCCCCTGGGGACTGATGCCTGCCCTCTGGACCCAGCGAAAGTGGAACGCCAGCTGGTCCTGCAGGAGGTGCCTCACGCACATCTGGAACGTGGCCCCAGGCACGCTCGACCACATCCTCGACAAGCAGACCGCGGACGTCTATCCCACGGCGCCTGCCAAGCGGGAGACCGCGGCTGAAATGGACGTTGACAACACCAACATCGCCGTGTGCCTCTCCCCTGGCACCGCCGATGCTACCGCGCTGGGCTCCTACTCACGACCGGCGACCCATGCCAAAGGGTTGCCCTCCCTCGCTGGTGAGGATCGGACCAGCCCCACCGGGCGCTCGAGCCATGATGGCACCAGGGTTCGGGACATCGGCGCCCTGCTCCCCGACATCCCTCCGCCCTCGGGTTCCGCCCTACCGACCCACTCCACCTCCGAGCTCCCAGGGCAGGATTCCCGAGGCGTCCTCCGCTCATTGGTCAGGTTCTTGCTCGAGTGGAATCCGGGCATCTTCGGTCGGTGGGCTAGCTTCGTGCGGGAACGCGGCGACGGGATCACAGGCGTGAAGACCGACCAGGAGTCTTGGCCTCCCCAGAGGCTATGCCCCTTCCTGGTCAGCATCTACGGACAGACGATCCCGGTGAAGTGCCACCCCCCAACGTCCCCTGGGAGGACAGCCAGAGGGCGGCAGCCGCTCGGGTCGTCTCCCACCTGTCACAGAACGACGGGCATGCGAGCAAATGGCGGACGCATGTCGCCAGTCTGGAGGAGCAGCGTGGTCTCTGCCCCTTTCGCCACGCGACCAGCACCTTACTGGGATACCTCGCGGACATGGACCCTTCGGCCCTAGCTGACGGCACCGTCAACTCCCTGGCACAGCAGGACCCGGTCCAGACCGTCACCAGTGCAGCAGCGGCAGCGAATTCCCCCGCAGCATACTGGCTGGACAGACGCAGCGATGCAGCAGAGGCTTCCCTCCCTGCTGGCAGAACCTTGGGACAGGAGACACAGCGGGACAACGCCCCCAGGCTGGTGCGCGAGGCTCCCGGCAACGAGGGAACAGAGGTCGTGCCCCAGTCCCGAGCCACAACGGATGAGCAAGACAACGCCGGGCAGGCCTGCAGGACACAGGCTGAGCCGCGGGATCCCTGGAGCCCCGCGTCCCCAGATTAGGGGCGATGACTCAGGGACCGCAGCCGCAGCGGCTAAGGACAGCAGCCCGAGCGCGAGCCCCGAACTGGCTGCCACGGAGGACGAGGATTACGACCCCCTCGGTGCATTTTCAGCGGCACCCCCCAGCGGCTCCGCATGGTCGCCCTGCGCGCAGACCAT